TGGCTCCAGTGTGTCAAGGAGAGTTCAAGACACAACTGTTTGGTCACAACAGTTGAGTCAGGGCTTTGGGATTAGGAAGTATAGGCCTGCGGCACTTTTGTGAGAAACTGTGCCATGCACAAAATAGAACACTAGTGAAAAAACTATGCATAAAGTTCTAACTCTGGTTTTCTCATTTAATCAGGACTATCTGATACCACATATTTTCCCCTGAATGACGCTATTCTACAATCACAAGAAATAACGCCGCAAACTTTAGGCAAAGAATAAAAGCAGTAAATGTGTGTGTAATGTGTACAACTACTAGTGGACAAGAATGAATGCGTCCAGGGGACAAGAGCCATATTCCCAAACACAGTACTCACAGCCCGACCTATTTTATCCCCACCTCCAGTTACATCACCCACCCTCCCTGCCCCCCATGTCTACACTGCCTGGATGGCCCGTTTCCACTGTCCAACAACCTCCTCTTCATCCCTCGAATCCTCCCCAGGTCATCTGAGGTCAGGGAAGCAGTCCTATCCTGTTCCCACTCCTGCCATCTTCACCTCACTATAGCAGCTACCTTTTTTTGCCACATTGACTGTGGCTATTCACAGCTCCTCACCTGTAGAGGTGACCCTCCAGAGGCAGGCCAAAACAGTTTACATCCCCTCTGCAGCTCTGCAAGTAGCAGGTGTTCCCAGGGCTCAGCACTGGGTTCCCAGGACAGGAGAAGAGTAGCAGAGAACTTTCATGCAGGAATCTGTTTTTAAAGTTTGGAGACAAGCCCGGTCGTTTGGTTCCCTGCAATAACTCACTGTAATACCAGATCTCAAAATTGGGATGCCGGGTGCTGCTGTGCTCAGACCCTGTTCCCGAGTCACCTTGGGCACTGGGCCCTAACCCTTTAGACTAATGGAAAACAGGGCAAACAGATTAAACCACGCTCACTCAGAAGACTGCCATCTGTACAACTCAGAAAGCTCCTTGCTCTGCCCAGCCCCTCTGGACAACACTAAACAGGCTTAGCCTGCCTGGGCAAACAGGAAAAGTAGGTCAGTTCAGCAGCACGGTTCTTCCACAGAGATGAACTAATGATGTGCACACAGTGTGCTCTGTGGAGACCGGGTGGTGCCGACTTTCGGCCCAGGCCCTAGGCTGCTCTCAGTCCCAGCCTGAGTGGCATAGACTAGTCTTGGGGTACACAGGTGACCCAGGTAATGAGGACAACTCAGAGAAACTTTGGGAAATGGCTCTCTAAAAAAGTGCAGAAAAAGCACAGCATGGATCTACCCCTGACACCCACTGCGCTTTTTGGCCTCTCAATCTGCTTCAACTGCGCTGGTGTACTGACCACCCTGACACTGCATGAACACCGCTGGCGAACGGTGGGGCTGCCCTCCAGCTCAGCGGCTTCCTCCAGCTCGCTCAGGATGCCTCTTCCTGCACTTCCCCCAAGGCTGCTGGTAATGACTAGGTGCTCACTGGATTTGACCTTAGCATCGGAACCAATGGGCACAGCATCCTGTGCAAGATGGGAAGGCACTACTTCAACCATTTCTGTTTAGTCAGGCTGCAGCTTTCTAGACTGGCCCCTCCTTTGGGTCTCTTGGGTCATAAATTGGACAAAGCACCAGACACTTTGAGGGAAATCTCCCAGAGCCAGGTGATCTAATCTACTTCCAGAAGCTGGTATCTGAATGCAGGTCATCCCAAGAGGCACAAATCTGGAGGCTGACACTGGGACTCCCTGGGAGTCAGGTCCTGCTCCCCAGAGCTCTTAAAAGGGCACAGGTCCCTGTGGCCAGCCTCTCAAATAGATCTCTGGCATCCCTGGAGCAGGGGGAGTCCCAGAAATTTCTCAATATAACAGTGGCCTTGGGACCCCAGGTGAGGCTGTTGCTAGTTATACTATAACTAACTATATATGCACATATGTATACTTTTAGATGGTTTTCTTTTAAAATGCTGGGTGTGTTTCCTCTTTACTTCATTTCTGTAATAAACCTCTCAGAAACATTCAGGTCTGAAACTCCATGACTTTGGGAATGCTCTCCCCACCTCTTTCAGAAATGAGCTTCTCTGAAGTTTTCTCTTTGGCATTTTCAAAATGGAAAAGGCAGAGGCCAGAACATTCTTTGGCCCTCAGGTCTTTGTTCACTCGTTGGGTTAGCACCTTGGGAGTCCCACTGCTGGCAAAGAGAGATGAGAACTGGCTGGCAGAGGCCAGGCCACAGAAAGACCCTGTGTTCAAAATGTGACCATCTTTGCCTTCTCACATTCTCAGGGTCCCGAGACTTTAGGACATAATACTCGGGAGCACCTGGAATGAGAGTCACAAAGCTCAGTGATGTCAGCTCAGGGGTTGTTATTATTAAAGCAATACAGGAATTTTTGAAATATCTACTTGGCATTTAAATAACAGATCCCAACAATGGGTATCAATTAGCTTTATTTTTAAATTCCAAAGATACCTGTCAGCTACCAGAGAACCTGCAAAGCAAACCCTTTTAAATGTACTTGCAATCTGAAAGGTCCCTGTTCTAGGGGACTTCAGCTTGCATAACAGTATTTTCCTGAAGAGCTGATGATAAACAACACTTCTGTGAACTGAATCATGCTTTAGATGTGTGAGTGGCTCAGGCCCACTCACTGGGGGTGTGCAGTACCCCCCACCCTAACTAATGTCCTTCTGAATGCAAAGCTCATCACCACCAATTCAATTTATCTGCCTGACAAAGTACACCTGGTTTCCATGAGACCAAACTACCTACAATTTTTTTTAACACTCTGAAATTCTGAGTTTGGAGAAGGAGGTGGATTCCTTTTCTTAATTTTAAATCAGTTTTACATTTCAGGCAAAGTTGAATGTGAAATGCTGTTAAAATAAATTGACTATATATTAGTCAAATCTATTCTTCACTGCATTTGTTAATGCAGCAGCGTTATCTCCATGCATGTTGGATTTACTTAACTAAGCAAATAAGTATATTTAATGGTGTATATTTTTATCTTTAACTAAAGTCATGCAGTTTTCAACCCCAAGAGTATGCTAAATTCTTGAGTGTATGAAAAACTTTCAGATTCTTCAGAATAGAAACTAAATAATCATTCTAGTCCACACTCACATTTTTGGATGTTATAAACACAAATCTCATTTTTGCAAACCTGTCTGAAGGAAAAGAAAACCAACAACAAATAAAACAAATGATGTCTGGTTTAAGTGAAAACATTTAAATTGTTCTCAATGTTTTCTGAGGGAGAAGCGATATAATTTCATTATAATCCACTCATTCTTTCATTAAGAGTAAAAAAAGGTAAAGGATTTAGGCTATTTTTCACTATGCAGTCGAGTTCTCTGCAACACACACACACACACACACACACACACACACTCTTAAATGGCAGTAAGAAGTATTAAATCCTTCCTAACTTTCCTAAAAATATTTCCTCTCTTCTTTACCAATACTCTCACTAACTACCCATTTGAGATTCTTTTCTCCTTCCTGTGGTTTAACTGTTTATTCTGCCTTGCTCTGGAGTAGAAGTCAAGTTCACATCTAGGTAAGCATGACACCAGGCCAGTTCCCTCTGAGAAGTGGTCTCTCTCTGGCCACAGGCTTGCAAACATCTGAAGACAAGAAACTGTGTGACAACAGCATCAACAGCCAACAACTACACAGCCTTTCTCTTCCATGAACATGAGTGAAGTTTTACAATGAGACTGTGTTGTGTTGTGGTGTGTGTATATGTAGGGTAAGGAAAAATGTCAGGCTTTTCTGCCCTCCCGCCATCAAGATAGATGATGGATCCTTGCGGTCCTGAATGCATGCCTGATGGCGGGCACCTGGAGTAGGGTGTGGGCATAGGTAGATGGGATTCAACTGGGCTAAGACTGTGCTTTTTAAGGGCGGCGTCACAGGGACGCCAATAGAAGCTGAAGAGAAGCCGAGATCACCAGAGAGCCCAGATAGAGTGAGGATTTGCTGAGGGCTGGGAGGCCTGCCAGCCTCCCGGCCCCCTAGCACCCTTGCCTGCTGTGTACTGGGTAAATCCCAATAAAAGACCTGCAAAAACCACTGAGGACTCTGACTCCTCCTTTACCCAATCTGCATGTGATCAGAAAACCTGCACTGTGGCCGGTCCTGCCCCTATAGTACACCTCTATGTGTTCTGTGGAAACAGGGTAAGGCCTAACCCAACCATAAGGACAAGCATTCCAGAGGCAGGAAGAACATGTCCACATCAGAGAGGGGATCATAGTGAGCCTCACACAGGTTGCTGGAGAGAGCTTCTTCTTTCTGTTGTCTCTTATCTTGGTTGCAGAAAAACAAATGCAATCAATTTTCTACCTTCTCAGGTGATGTTTGCCTTTTGGTAAGTTCTCAAACTCCTCTGTGATGGTTTGTATGGTCACAGGGAGAAGACAAGACTGTGGCTTAGAGCTAAACACAGAGGAAGGAACTGAATCAGGAACAACAGCCGTCCAGAAATGTTAATACTGAAAAGTACACTGGTTTTACCCAAAAGCAAGTGTGTTGAAAAATACCCCAAGGAACCACAGATACAGTTCAAGGTTTAGAAAATCCCACAAGCCAGAACCAGGGTCAAGTTCCTTCAAGCACCTTAAGTGTCCTTGGGGGATTTTTAGGAGGCAAGGCCAGAGCTGAGCTGGCCATGAAAGAAGGGGCTGTCGCTCTCCTATCTTCTTTCCATAAACTCACAGAATGCTTCAGGGTCACGCCTCCCTCCAGGGGTGGAATGGAAAGACTGTTGTGTGTGTGATGAGGGAACTCAGTGGGAAAGTAGACTCAGAAGATGTGAACCATGTGGTCAGCTCCATCACTGTCCAGCTGGGTGAACTCACGGGGAGTCACCTGCTTTTTGGAGTGTGGTTTCCTTATTTGGTGGAATGAGAAATAACTTTGTAAACTATGAAATGCCTTATAAAAATGAGCTCTTATTGAGGATCTTATAATTGGGTTCTTAGGCCATGTACTATTCTGGGTAAGAATTACCTGTACAGGTGTCCATCCAGGTGAGGAGGCCAGAGGAAGAAAGATGGCAAGAACCTATGAGAGCAGAAGCTCTGGTTATTATACATTCTCCATCCATGACTATGCCTGGTGACAAATCAGGGTCATTTGTGCTAATTTGCTCTCCTTTTAAAATATAAATCCACTAAGGACACTAAGTTGTGGAGCATGTGGTTACCCGAAGTTCAGGTTTTCTGCTTCTACCCTGTGTGGCTCAGACATACCTCTCCACAAATGAGTCAGAGGTAGGTCAAGGCCCTGACTTCCAGCCTGTCAGGTGTTGATGTTCTCAGTCAGTGATAATTAGGCTGTGAACTCATTCTGACCTAGGACTTGTTTGCATCACCTATGACCAAGTTTGCTGTTAGCCTGGCTTAGACCCAGCCACTGATGACAATATTTGGCTGTAGAGAATCCAGTTTTTTTAACGTGGGTCAGTTAAAAACAATCAACCCTTCTATTTGAAGTTTAATATTAAATAAAGGCAATACTGCCATTGGCAATGCCTGTGCTGTGGTTTCTAGATAGAAAATGTCCCTCCTGTTCCTTAGATTACAGTCCATTGTAGACTGTGGTGTCCTTCAGGGTGTACACCTATGTTTGCAAGTGCAGGACACATGTAACAGGTAGGGAGTTAGGTCAGTTTCCTTTTATTGATGACGGCAGGTTCCATTTCTAAGGCTATGTGACTTCATGCTGATTTCTCCTCTAAAGAAGAATCTAGGCAAATGGAGTGGGCTCCCTCTCACCCCAGCCAAGGAGGAAAAAGGCCTTAGAAACAGTCCACTAAATACTTCCACTAAGAAAATACAGAGATGTGTGTGTGTGTGTGTATGTGTGTGACTTCATAAAGCCAAGGCAGAGTATCTGTGTCACACAATTTTAGAATATAATGTGAACTATGTCTCTTCCAGTGGAGATGACAATAGATCCTTCTTGCCACCTGGTAAGAACGAAGAAGTCAGTCCTTATGTGGGATGCTCCCCCATTTTGCCCGTGAGGAATCCAAAGCAAAGGGAACGAAGTCACACAGCATAAAAATGTTCCATCAGTGTTCACTGGCCACATGAGCAACAACACTTTCCAAACAGCAGTATCAGTTCTTGGGAGGGGACTGGTAGACCTGCCGGACCTCCTCCCTCCAGCCAACAGAAACAACGGGCCTCTCTAGCCCACTCATGGGCTCTTTCCTGGGGCATCCTGAGCTGCCCCTAGCCTTTTCCACCTCTAGTGAGGCCACAGTAAGTGTCCACCCTCACTGTGACCCTCATTTGTGCCCCTACTTGATAACCCAGGACACTGAGTACCATTGGGAATTCAGATTTGGAAGCAGGAAGGTTGGCCTGGGGATGCTGAGGGGGATCTGGTACCTGACAGTTTGAAGCAGCATAACGGGCCCCTGTTTCCTCTGTCCTTTGTCTCTCTTGTCCTCCTCAGCATGGGCCATGGGTAGGGCATGGTGGTGGGCCCCAGAGAGGTGGTTTGGGGGAAGGAAACAGGCTCTGAGGATGCTGGATTGTGTACCACGAGCATGGCACAGCCATGGACACCAGGAGTAAGTGAAGTTTCATCTGGCAAACAGCAAGTCTGTCACCTGCCATGGTGGCTACTTAAGATTGTTCAGAAGATAAAATAAGAAAAAGCAGCTCAAAGCATTTTTCAGATAAAGGTTGAGAGCAGAGATTCTCAAACTCATGAGTCATCTTGGGATCTTTTTTTCATTTTATATATTATTTACATCATTTTTCATTTTTGCACAATGTATGCATTTTCATCTTGGTTATAGTCCCCATACAATTCCCACCCCCCTTGTTTTGACCTTAGTCCCTCCTCCCCACCCTCCCCCCGTAGTGTGTCTCTGGTTTATAGCTGCTTGTTGATTTTGACTTTATTATTAGTCTTTTTCCTGGTCCCTTATTTAGGTTTTCAAGTGCAGATTCTGATGTGGTAAGTCTGGGAAGGGGATGAGATCCTGTGCTTCTAACCAGTGCCAAGGTGATGCCAAAGCTGCATGTACATGCCCACATTGTGGGCAGCGAGGACTACCAGGCACGTGAGGTGCCGCTGTCAAGAAAACAAGTACCTTGTGAGTTGGAGGGGTGGCAGGAGGGACACTAAAGGTCATCTGCTTCCACTTACAGCAGGACACCGGGGAGCCTTGGTCCAGATGTCCAGGCTGCACCTTTGAACAATGGGATAGCACTGGGGGGGGGGGGCGGTGGGAGGCGACAATGTTACATTTTGTACTGTGTGCATCCAGTATTGAGACCCACGGATCTAGAGCTTGAATGCCATCCACACCATCCCAGGGATGCTGGATAAGTCTCCACGGAGATGGGCTTGCTGCTCTCTCTGGCAACCTCTTCTATTTCTTGTTAGTCAAACTTACTAGAAAAGTCTTCCTAATAAGCCCAAATACCACACCCCTCCCCCTTTTCCTATGGCTTCTACTCATTTCTTCTTGCTCTTTAGCCAGGACCTACAAAGAACCCCAGCCTCAGATAAGGTTATTATATTTAAAAGTTGACATGAAATTTACTTAACATAATTCACCATTTTCAAGTGTACAATTCAGTGGCATTTACTACATTTCACAATGTTGTGCAACCACCCCCTCTCTCTACTTTCAAAACTTTTCATCAACCCAGACAAACAGCCTGAACCCATTAAGTAACTGCTCCCCGTTGCCACCTCCCCTAGCCCCCGTTCTGTCTCCATGGGTTTGCTTATTTCGTATAAATCATACAAAAGCAATCATGGAATATGTGACCTTTGAGCTTGACCTGTGACCTATGAGCTTCTCTCGTAAGAGAAATGTTTTCAAGTTCCTTCACGCTGGCACATGTTTCAGAATTTCATTCATTTTTAAGAGGCCAAATAGTATTTTGTATGTTTATATCACATTGTGTTTATTCATTCATCCATAGATGGACACTTGGGTGGCTTCCACCCTTTGGCAATTATGAGTAATGCTGCTATGAACACTGGAGTGTAAGCTTCTGCATGGACTTAGATTTTCATTTCTCCTGAACATATCCTAGACGTGGAATTGAGGATCACTCGGTCAATCTGTGTTTAACTGTTTCAAGCTGCTTTGCATGGTGGCTGCACCAGTTTACATTTCCACCAGCAGCAGCATGCACGAGGGTTCCAGTGTCTCTACATCCTCACCAACATTGGTATTTTCCATGTAATTTTTTTTCTCCTAGGGATGAAGTCAGTTCTCAGATATGGGAGAATACTCTTATCCCCCTGAATCCCCTCTTTTTCAAGTCAAATATCCTTAGTTTTCCTCCTCCCCTTGATTGTCAAGGACCCCCTTGAAATGTTCTCTTCGGAAGTAACACCATGTGCTGCTGGGGCGGAACAGACCTGAGAGGCGGTGGCCAGGCCCCTGGGCTGGCTCACTCGGGTACAGACTTTGTGGTCTCGCTCCCTAAGCAGTGGCAGAACAAACCTTGTTCTTGTTTACAGTTGTTTTTGACCTCCCCCCCCCCAAAAAAAGGGTAAAGTCTTTGCAAAGAACACAGCACCATATAAAGCTTGATATTATTGTTCTGACTGGCTTAGCTACTGCCGTTCTGGGGACAGGCACTCACTGCATGCAGCCAGGTCATATCGAGCTTGGGAAAGGGAGCGGGAGACTCTTGGATGCCAGATGTGTCATGAGAAGAAAATGAGGGATGGAGAAACTGATTCTGAGGACCTAATTACAGCCTTGGATGTGCAGTCAAATGCTTTGAGCGGTCATCTCTTTTGTTTAAAGAATTGAGTAATGGATGAACATACCCTCCTGCCCCACGCCCATGTGGCACCATCTCCATCAAACATACTCATTCAAACATATTCATTCATTCTCACATTTAAATGTTTCTACTTCACTCTTACAAAAACGCTGGAGATGAGATGAATTTTTTTTGTCCTAAAGAAAGATAATGATCATACTTAAGAGGAAAAAGGACCATGTGATCCACAAAATCTTGAACATTGATATTATCCATGAAGCAACTTATTTGTATTTACCACTATATGGCCCAGAGATATTTTCTACTTCACCTTCACAAAAAGACTTAGAAGACATTTTCTCCTAAATTCACAGTCCCCTCTGCCTCCATTTAAGTTAGTGATGAACACTTAAAACCCAGCTTGTATTATATGAACTCAGAGGAATTTCAAACAAGTAAACACTCCCTTACAGCTGAGTAGTGGTAAGAATCTACAAAATCAGCACCAACACAACAAGCTAACTTTTCTTGCAAACAAAATAGTGACGTTACCTTGATTCTGCTGCCAGGTAACTGTAGGGGTACTGGCTTATGGAGCCTAAGGGACCGCATAGGGCCATTTCAGAGGATGGTTCGATCCAGGTGCTCATTTTGAAGAACAAACACAGCAGCAAAAAGCTCTGTGGCTTTTCTTCTTCTTCACCCTAACAGGTAGTTGTTTTTCTCTAGTTTGTCCTGTGGCTCTTATGTTTTTATCCAGTGTTGGAAACACGAACTGCTGCTTTTCCAGGTTGTCGGCTGTTTCCAAAGCATGTTCATTTTGTTATGGGCGACCCGGTCTCCTCTGGGCTGTGGAACTCTTGATTTAGACATGAATATTAAGGATCACTGCCTCCCTTGCACCTCTTTCCTTACTGAGCTCGTAGGACACACCTCTAGATTCTTCTTCCTCCTGCCCAGCCTCACCTCCCTTCTGGAGCCAGGTGGCCACTGATCCTGGCATGTCACACCCACTGACCTACAGGCAGCCTGTCTCAGCTGCTGCCAATGTCTCTGGACATTGGGTAACTCTGACACATCACCACATTTTGCAATCAAAGTAGGAGTCCAGAGGGTCTAAAACCACACAGCATTCTGGGCTTGGCTATACCACAAGGAATTGATAAATTCTGAGATCTCCAGACTGTAAGACTTTGTTTTTAACACATTCCACCGTGTTTCAGTCACGTTTGATAATTTCAATTTTCTTGGTCCCTGCTAGTGTGTAGTTTGAAAGGTGGTTCATGGAGTAAAATCAAAAGGGCTCATCAACTGAGGATAAAGCTGCATTTTAGTAAAATGATGGCGTTCCCTAAGAAGGCATGCCAGGAAGAGCTGCTAGAACCAAGATTCGTTTTGTATTTAATGTACCATTGAAGGTTGAAACAATAACCACAGAGTGCAAAGAATCAGAAATGTGAGGTAGGACTGTGTGAAATCATGTGATGATCCCCACAGATATTTTCAAATGAGAGTGTCCCTGAAAGCCTGGGGACTGCAGAAACTCCAGCTCAAAGGTGGGGAGGCCGATGACTATCAGACACACAGCCGGGCCTGTCGTGGTGTGGCTCAGCTCTGTAGGAAAACAAATCCCTCTCAGAAACCAGCTGTTCCAGAAAGCTTTCTTACTTTAACCAGTTTGAATGGAACAATTCTCATATGGATCTCACACCTTCCTGTCTGTCTCAGCAAAGTGAACATAACTGTCACCTCGCCCTGATGGTTCAGTATCACCAAGATGAAACAATCAGTAGTGCTGGGTGGCCAGGATCGCCTGTGGACCATAGTGTTCCCGTGAACACTGAATCTATTGAGCTTTCTATCAGCTTTCTAGCACGTTTCTGTCCTTCACCTGGTCAGAGTTCTTGCTGATGCAGCTCTTGCTCTTGGCAATACTTCTGCTCTGAGCACCTGAGAGCAAGATGTCACCTCCACCTCAGATGTCTGAGGTTAGAGTCAAGCCCTCACCTGAGTGGGCCACGTCCTCTCTGCCTTCTCCAGGCACTAAGCACAGACGACCCTGTGACTTGCTTTGCTGTGTTTCCCAAGTGAGATGGCTAAAGACTGGGTTTCAGTGAGGTGCGGCTTTCCTGGGACACTCAAGCTGCTGTTCCCCACACACACTGCCACCCGAGCCATAGCAACACTGGGGCAGCTCTGTACTACTTCCCTCTGCCCAGCACACACCGGGATCACCCTTCAGCTCCTTATTCTTTACCAGTGATGGAAAATAATCACTTAAGGTCATTGACCTCTAAGCCTAGCTGGGCAGCTGAATGACTTGGAGAATTACTAAAATATAGATTGCTGGCACCCTGAAGATTCAGATACACAGCCTTGTTGGGAAGTCCAGGGCTGGGAAGAAGAGACTGATCCCTGATTTCACCTTCTCCTGAGGGCCTAGCAGAAGTGAGGGGAGCACCAATGACACCCCATAGGATGAGTCAGAAGGTAGAGGAAGGTGTCTCTAGTAGCAGCTTGGGAATGAGCGGCCAAGGCATTTCCCAGGCAAAGCATCCTGGTCTCACAAAATGGTACTAGCCGTGTGCTTTAGTTCAAAATTTTCAATAGCCCTATCTAATCTGCAGAAATATGAAAAATGAATTTGCTGCTCTAGTGTGTCAGGACACGTACCAGATACACAGAAGATATAAGCAGAACCAGAGAGGCCCAGTTTATTTCCAAAGTTAGTCTCTCCATGGATGTCAGCTGCCTCCAAGGCAGGCTGCTCTGATTTAGTCAAACACAACAATTAGTTGTGGAAAATGTAGAGAGAGGCAAATAATTTGATTCACTGGAGTGTAATGGAATAACAGGATTAAAGCATTTTTGTTACTAAAATTAGCTCAAGAGCCCTCACTCCAGAATGCTTTGCACTTCACACAGTTTTAACCTATCTGTTTCCTTTTTGTGCTAACATCATGTGATTTGAAATTTGCTTTCTGTGGTATTTGATTCCATGTGGGTGTTTTTTCCTCATCCATCTTCCTTTTTGTTACTTAAAGGGAAAAATAGCCCTGG